TGTTTGTTGATTTTACTTAGAAGAAAAAACTCGATAGGAAATGATAGCCTTGATTATCAGAAAGATGTCTTTCCCTTTAATATAATTCATGGTGTTACTTCAACTCAGTTATGTATTTTGAGTGCTCCATTGAGTGTCCGACCAGAAATCCTGAAACAAATCAGAGAATGTTGCCCCTACTTTACTTGAATGAAGTTTCATTAGTTTGCTAGAAATCAGAAAGTCCCCACTGGGATGAAGAGATAAGTTTTGGGATGCACCTTAATCAATTTGGTGTATTAATAATTGGATTTTGTCAGGAGTTCACATTTTAAAAAAATCATATTGATCTCAAAGCCATTCTGCCTTACAAGTGGCTGAACAAGTGTTCCCCTGATTGTAAAGACGTTGAAATGGAAACTACAGAAGTGAATGAAATTGTGATGTAATCAAGAACTAGGAGCATCTTGCTACAAAGCTAAGTTTGAGAGTATCCTGAGTGTCAGTGGCCCTATTTAGGAATATCAAGATTCAATCCTTAAGCTTATTGCAGGATGGAGGTTAATAATTTAAGGAAATGCTCACTGAAGAAAAGTGTTAACGTCATGTCAAATCTTTGTTAAAAGTGTCCTTTGATATCTTCCTCTGCTGAGTGTTGTGTCTTAGTTAGGGCTTCTATTGCAGTGTTAAAACACCCTGACCAAAAGCAACTTGGGGAGGAAAGGGTTTATTTCATCGTATAACTCTCAGGTTACACTTTATCACTGAGGGGAAACCAGGGCAGGAACCACAGCAGGAACTAAATGCAGGAATTCAATCAGAAGCCATGGAGAAACTGGCTTGTTTTCCATGGCATGCTTAAGCTGTGTTATAATACAAATCAGGACTCCCTACCCAGGGATGGCACTGCCCTCAGAGGGCTGTGCTCTTGTAGATAATCATTAAGCAAGAAAATATCCTATAGACTTGCCTAAAGGCAATCTGATGGAAATATTTTCTTAATTGAAGTTTCTCTTCCCAGATAACTCTAGCTTGTGTCAAGTTGATAGAAAAAAACAAAAACAAACAAACAAACAAAAAACCCAGCCAGGATAATTGATCTCTTATCAACTTGACACACAAATACATTATTATTACTACCATAGTCCTTCCCTTCTTTTGTCTGTCCCCAAGATCTCATGTTCATATCAATATCATAATACAAAACATAAATAACTTTAAAAGTTCCATGGCTTTAAAATTTTCAACATTTTAAAAGTCCAAGTTCTCTTTAAAAAACACAACGTGTCTCTTTAAAAGTCCAAAGTCTCTCAACTGTGGGCTCCTATAAAATCAAAACAAGTTAAATATTTTCTTACTCCAAGAGGGGGAAACCAGGGCACAGTTACATTCAAATCAAAGCAAAAACCGAAGTCCACGAGTGTGAAGCTTGTTGTCAGATGCCTAGGTCTCATGATCTTCAGGGCTCTAAAGGACTCTGTGGCTGTGGCATCCACAGCACACATAGAACATTTCACAGGCCCAGGCTACCTGCATTCCATAGTTGTGTGACCCTTGATGGCCATATCTATGGTACTGACATCTCCATAATGCTGGGGTCTCTGCTGGAACTGGACTGCACCTTCACCTACATCCTCTCCTGGACTTTCACAGTGCCAAGCCTCAGCCGATCTCTATGACTCCTTCATGTCTTCAAAACCAGAACCACCGGGAAGACTCTTACACATTACCAAATTCGGCGGCCAGTACGAGGTATAAACATGGCCCCGGCTGGATCACAGCTCCTGTGTGCTGACACTGATGAAACACTTCCTAGAAGAAGTTGCCTCAATAATGCTGGTCTGTTCTTAATTATAGAGGGTTCTCCAACCTCAGCTGGCCAGTACTGATTATCCCAGCAAAGCAAGTTTCACTTTAATAGTTCTGCTCTGGTTAAACATAGCCAGTTCTTCAGTTTCGCCTGACCAGAACCACAGATTATTTTATTATTTATTTTTATTTTATGTGAATGAGTGTTTTTGTATATATGTGCTTGCACGATGCCCTAGAAAGTCAAAAGAGGGCATCAGATTCCCCTGGGACTGGAATTATAGATGGTTGTGAGCTGCCCTGTGGGTACTAGGGATCAAACTTAGGTCCCCCTCAATAGCAGCAAGCTCTTAACCACTGAGCCAATTCTCTAGCTCCTAGATTCTTAATTCAAAATATAGAATGGCCCTGATGGTGCCTTTAAGAGACTCTCAAACTTCCCTCTGAACTTTGAAAGCCAGACTTTCATCATCTGCACTGTTCTCAGCATTATCTTCTAAGTTCCCACAATAGCTCAGTAAGCTCTGAACACTCAATGGCTTTTCTAGTCCAAAGTTCCAAAGTCCTTCCACGATCATTCCCCAGACATGGTCAGGTCTGTCACAGCAATATCCCATGAACCTTATACCAATTTTTATTTTAAGTTAGTGTTTTCATTACTATGGCAAAAAAAAAAAAAAAAAAAAAAAAAAAAAAAAAAAAAAACAAATGCCATGACCAAAAGCAACTTGGAGAGGAAAGGCATTTATTCAGCATCTATATCCTGGGTCACAGTCCACTGAGGGAAGCCAAGGCATGAATCTGGAGGCAGGAAGTGAGTCAGAAGCCATGGAGGAATGTTACTTACGGGCTTGTTTTCTGTGGCTTGTTCAGATTGCTTTAATGCACAACTGAAGACTCTCTGACCAGAAGTGGCACTGCCCCAAGTAGGCTGGGCCCTCCCACATGGAATCTTGATTGATCAAGAAAATATCCTACAGCGTGGCCTACAGGCAGTCTGATGGCAGTATTTTCTCAGTTGAGGTTTTTCTTTCCAGATAACTCTAACTCGTGTCAAAAATATCCAACCAAAACATGTCGGATGGTTTGGTTTCTGGACTGACAAGTATCATCAGGCCATAGCAGCAGTTGCCTGAGAGAGAGAGACTGAGTACAGTGGTTTGAGTGAGAAAGTCCCCTATAGGCTCAGATAGTGAATACTTGGTCCTCAGTTGTTGACAGTTTGGGTAGGTTTGGAAGGTGTGGCCTTGTTTGTGGAAGTGTGTCACTTGGGAGTGGGGGGCTTGGAGGCTTTAAAACCTCGAACTATTCCCTTCTCATTTTCTCTGCTTCCTGCATGTGGTTGGAGATGTGAGCTCAGCTGCCCCTGTTGCCACACTTCCCTACTGGGATAGTGATTCCCTCTGGAATGGTAGTCTTGGTGTTTTATCGAAGCAATAGAAAAGTAACTAAGGGCCAGGTGGTGGCGGCACATGCCTTTAATCCCAGCACTCAGGAGGCAGAGCCAGGAGGATCTCTGTGAGTTCAAGGCCAGCCTGGTCTAGAGAGAGATCCAGGACAGGCACCAAAACTACACAGAGAAAGCTTGTCTCAAAAAACAAAACAAAACAAAACAAAAAGAAAGAAAGAAAAGGAAAGGAAAGTAACTAAGATACTGAGAAACTAACCTAATATTGGCAGAGATGAAGGCTGAATTGGGAACACGGCACTGTCTCCACTATTCCCAAGTCTGCTAAGGCTGCGAATGATATCGCTGCCACTCCCGAAGGACTGAAGGACTATCAGGATGGGTCTCACAGTCAAGCAGGAACTACAAGTCGAGCAGCTGCCCTTGGAGGTTCCTCAAGCTGTCACCAAGGCAACTGCAAAACTCTTGTTCTAGCCACCAGTGTCCAGAGACAACTTCAGGTCAGCTGTGGATGCCCCAAAGAGACTTTGCTTCAGTCAGGGAAATCGCTGCAATTAACCACCGGCCCTGCTGTGGCATTGCCTTAGGAAACTCTGCTTTAACCACGACACCTTGAGATGATTCTTAGATGACCCTCCTCAGTTCCTCCAGACCTCACGACCGTAGACAGACACGTCCTGTGCTGCCAACAAAGTTCACTCCAAGTGGTTTTAATGCCAACTTGTGCTCTTTTATCATGGGTAGGCTGCATTGGCTGCATGAACAGATGAGCCCAGGGTATAGCTCAGGGTATAGCACCCAGCAGAAGAGAGAGGCTGTCGTAGAGACCATGGAGAGCTGAGGCTGTGCAGGGCTGCCGAAGTGTTGGGAAAGCATGACACAGAGAAGAACAGGAACTGCCAAAGGTAAAACTCTACAAAACGCTGAGACTTGAAAAACTGCGAGCTGCAGCTGCTGCCAGAGTCCGGGAAAGTCACTGAGTTGCTACCTCTGGCTGCTGAGGAAGCCTCCGTGAGCTGTTAGGCTAAAGGCTGAAATCCCTGTCGTCATAAGGCTAACACAAGCAGCTGGGTGTGTTGACTCAGAGCTATTAGAGCCAAAGCTGTGACCTTGAGATCCAAGGGTTTTCAGCACCCCAAGCTGGGGGCTACTGACACAAAGGGAGCTACGCTTTGCCTGTTGGGAATTTCCATCCAAAATACCGCCCCAGACAGCACAAACGTGGCCCACACCACAAGGCTGGCCACCCTAAACTCTACCCAGCACAGTGGGCGGCATCATTGCCTGTGACCACTCTGTATATGGGCCCTCAGCCCTAAGCGCTCAGGTGTCCAACCTGCGCCTCCCTTCACTACTGGTATTCCCAGGGAGATTCAAGACCAGGCCAGTGTCCTCACAGCCTCCTACACTTGGCGGGGACACAAGTTGTGGTCTATGGGGTGGCCAGGGTTTCCAGCCAGTATTCTCAGCGGCCTGTCTGCATACACTGCCCGAGCAAGTCAAGAGGTGCTAGTGCCGGCCGCCACCGGATCCTGAAGATTCAGTCTCTAGGACCAACCCATCTAGCGCCGTCAGGCTACCCAGGGGTGGGCGGGCCTCCGAGGCTAGCCCCCGGTTGCCGGGTAACGGGTTGAGGCTGTCCCTCTTCCCCAGGGTCTGAGCACCGCCCACCTCGCGCCTGGATCCAGCGCCTGCGTACTACATCCCTTTCGTCCCACCGTCCCTCTACACCCAGTTACGTAAGCACAAGCTTCACCTTGTCTCACAAGGCACGGGCGGAAGTGCATACGGCGGAAGCGGAAGTGAGCGTGCCGAAGACTGCGGATCTGAAGTCTCGTTGACGCGTCTGCAGTTACTGCGGTGCTCCTCCTCCAGGTAGGCCCTGCTGGAGGGATCGGCCCTCGGCCACCCGGGACTCCTCCCTGCAGCAAGTCCGCTATCCGCCGCGACCACGCCCCTCCGCGCCCTTGGCCCTGACTGCTCCTGCGCCCCGCTGGTGCGCCCCGGGAGAAGGGGCAAGGCACCCACCCTCCTGCAGGTGGAGCGGGGCGGAGGCTCTTCCCGACCCCAGCCGCAGGACGCTGAGGACCAGCGAGGTAGAGTCTGCTCGTCTAGAGGCCGGGGGAGGAGGAGCTAGTGCCTGCAACGCCGTGTTGGGGAGATGTAGGACGTGAGATGGTGGAGGGGCGAAGGGGCTGGGCCTCAGCTGTGTTGAGTTCCTCCGGGGAGGGGATCATCCTTTTGGTTAGGCTTTTTCTGCATATGCTCGCAGATTTTTTTTCCGTCTTAGGGACTAGCTGTTACCCACGACCACGTTCTTCAATAAGTCTCTCGTCGTTTTCCCCCCTCACACCCATCAGCGGATATTTCCTGACCTTTCCTGACGTTAGTGTATTGTAGGAGCCCTGGCTACTCTTTCCTTACCCGTTTTTGAAAGGCACCAACAAGAGATGCGTTATTTTTCTTACCACTCTCCCACTTTAAAAAAATAGAAAGGAAGAAAGAAAATCCTGTCCAGCCAGTCTTCCAAACGTTGGTATCTGTGAACGAACACCTTTGGCCCGAGAAAACTTAAATGGATAACATTTGAGGTCATTTGTTTTCAGCATTCGGAGATTCTACTCTATCTCCAAACTGGAATCTGGATATATTTATAGAACTGATCATGAAAAGTTCACGATTTCAGGCTTTGGGGTCTCTTTTCTTACATGGGCAGCTTTCAAGGCATTGGGAACGCAATAGCTCTCTGTTCATAACGGGCATTCTTTTTTAAAAAAGAAGTATCCCCAACTGTATATTGTAGGCCCTTTACAACTTGCCATTGGTCTTATCTTGCTGCTTTGCAAATATTCTTGTCCTAATCTTTCCCTTCCCATTTTCTCCACCCTCAAAGCAGTGCTTGTTTTTGGAATGTTCTAGCCATCAGGTGGAACATTATAACTTCTGTACTTCAGGTATTAGATTAATTTCGTTTAATTTCTGAGTTGACTCCACCTTGGTAAGAAGGATGTATTCCACATAATGCTATCAATTATTGTTATAGAACTTAATACCAAGTATAAATAGTTTTTATTTTATTGTTAGACGTTATTTGTCTACTTAGCTTTCTCTTTGGCTATTGTGGGAGTCTGTAAACTGTGAGTCGGTGCTTGATCTTACTTTATAGACTGGCCCTTGGTTTATTCATTTGTTTTTTTCCGACTAGGCATTGGTCTTAGCATATAGGAGACATTGTGGGATATGTTGTGATGTGACAGACAATGATGTCATTGTCTCAAAAGGCTCACCCTATTGGTAGTGATTCTCAGAGCATCTCAGGCTGTGTTTTAAGCAATAGGACTTCTGTCTAGTAGGAGAAGGGGTGGGCTCTTTGGAGAGTACCCTCATCTCCGAATTTATTTACTGCTTAGGTACCTGATAATTATCTAGCTGTAAAAATTCTCCAGTTTATTGTACATTTTTTTCCAGTCACCTTGTAATAACTTGAGGGAACTAAAAACCTCCTTACATGCTTTTAGCAATAAAGAAAAACAATAATAATTTAAACAATATCCATAGCTTCTGTCTCCTGTTTGGCCATTTTATTTTAAAATGTACTATCTGTGTTGTGTGATAGACACTTTCTGAAGAAGTGTAAACATGCCTGTTCACCCCAGGTAGCCCACTGACAGCAGTCTGGCTTAAGGAACCAGTGTGTTTATTCAGGTCGCTTACAGGAACGTGGTGACTCAGACGCAGCACTATAACCAAAGCCCACTGCAGCATGAGTAGCAGTGCGAGAAAACTGTATCTGTGAGGCTCACGCCACAACTTGCAAGCACCCTGGCTATCTGGAAATACCTTCTCCTGAGCAGTTACTGCTTTTGTAACTTTGGGACAGGTCCTTAAAAATGTTATAAGTCTGGGGAGCTTCCTGAGTCTTAGGAGGTTCCCTCTTCCTTTCAGGAAGGAATTGGATGTTGTACACATTTAGCAATTGAAGACCTTTAAATGTCAGAAGGCGTGTTCTAATGTCATAGGTCCCCATACCTTTTCTAAGTACCTGTGTGTGCGTGTGCTTGTGTATGTGTGTGTCTATGTGTGTGTATGTATGCATGTGTGTGTTTGTGTGTGTGTGCATATGCGTGCATGTGCGTGTGTTTGTGTGTGTGAGTGATATGTCATTTTTCTGTGAATATGTGATTCACAGTGTGAGAAATTAACAGTATGAAAGCTAGGATGAACTGGTGTCTGCTCTGTTAAAATAGCAGGCTTCCCATTATGGCTTGAGGAAGGAGCAGAAACATTTGAATAAAACCAAAGCCGTGTACCGAACCTGGTTTCCTGGAAAATAAGGAGACTGTTTCAAGAAACTCATTGTTGTCTTCGTGGCTTTAGTAGAAAATATTTGAAACAAACAAACAACAACAAAAGTGCCCTCTTACCGACAGTGGAAGACCGCAGCTCCAACATGGAGGATGCCACGATGCACCTGGCAGCTTGTCAGTCCGGAAAAGAGTGGAAGATTGGTGCTGCTCCCTGTCTCACTCTGTCTTCACATGTTGTTTTCTGTGTTGTGAGTGATGCTGAAGGCTTCTGTAGTCACTGCCCATGGACCATGTGGCCCTGACTCGTGTCTTAATGGACACGGCTCTTGGATCCTAGCTCCCAGTGAAGAGCTAGGAGAGAAGTGACATTTTCTCAGTGCGTAGAAATGTAGTCCCTGAATGAGTAATATTTACATCTGTCTGTCCATCCACAGTAAACTGTGGGACTTAATCCAGAGGTAGGCACAGACCAATGGTCTCGAGTTTGTGAAATCTGTGTGCTGTTATCTGTCTGCTCTGACTAGCCTTGTCTTCACATATCCCCTTCACAAAGTCTGTCTTCTGTATACTGGGTTGGATCATATTAAGGCAAAAACCACCCTTTTCCAGAAATGAATGTAAATTGTCAGGGGTTGTGATATAATTCAGTGGCAGAATGTTTGCCTACATATGTGAGACCCAGAACTACATTAAAATGATAACAGCGAGAACAGGAAGTGCCACCTTCCCAAATGTGGGGTCCAAACCCAGGAGTCCAAGAGATACCCTGATAGTTGAGATAATGGTGTCATCAGGTTCAGACCCTGATAGTTGAGATAATGGTGTCATCAGGTTCAGACTGTGGTAACTCAAATATCGTCATTACAATTTGATGATAAATCTTTTGTGTGTGTGTGTGTGTGTACATACATACATACATATATATGTATATATTACAGTAGTAGTTTTAACATAAAATACATAATATTTATGTCCACCCAACTTTTGATGTCTAAATTGCTATATGACAACTTCAAATTCTACCAGGAGCTAGCATCTATTAGTAACCAGTAAATTCCTAAAATGATAGTCCTGTGAAGGTACCTTTGTTTAGCCTAGAGTTTTTATAGCTTCTTCATTAGTATAGTGGAGCTTGTAGCTTTTACCACACATCAGTCAATTTGTTTTACAGATTAGTGTTTGTGTGTGTGAGTGCTCAGCTCTGCCTGGCTGGTGAATATACTATAAGATGAGATAGTCTCTCTGCCCTAGGTCTTCAAGAGGCATTATTTTGTGTTGCTTTTTGTATATTAAGGATTTGTTGTTGTTGATATTTTATCAAAGGACTTAGTGGCATGATGCCATGGTAAACAAAAAGAAAAAAAAGGAGAAAAAATATACCATTAAGATGCAAGATTTCTTGTGGAATTTTTTTTTTTTTTTTTACTATTGATGGACCTGTTGTCTGCCTGAAGAATGAATGTCTTTCATTTATATACAAGGACATATGTAAGTGCTTCTTACTAAGTAAAGAATTCGGATGATACTTTCCCACATTTTGAATTCTGACTCTTAAACTATTTTGTATCTATATCTCAGTTTTTTTCCATAGCCATTGTCTCAAATGATGCAACTATTTAGCATAGTACATTTTTATGCAGCTTCTTGTTAACACCTTTATTGAGTGTACCTAACGGTTTACCGGAATAGTTTGATACATTTTAACATTTGTGTTAAATATATATATATATCATAGTTTGATACATTTTAACTTTTGTGTTAAATATATATATATATCAGCATAGTAATAGTAGTATCCATACCTGCCATTTCCAAAGAACACCCTTGGGCATGCTTTCTTCCTGCCTGCCTCCATCAGAGACACCACTGTTAGATCACAGACCCACCACATGCCTGTGTCACCTAGAAGGGAGCTCAGCCCCTTTTATGCCAATCCTTAAGAAAACCTTGAATAATAATTTTACTTTTATTTAGTGCTTTCATGTCTTACGACTCCTGGCAAGTAGGCTAGGTCACATGATATGGAACTGTCCCCCCCCCCCTCAAACAAACAAACAACAAAACCAAAACAACATTACAATCTGTTTGTTTGTTTCTTGTAATAGAAAGAATTCTCTCTTCCTTCAGGACCTCATCATGCCATCTGTGGTCTGGTGCTGTACCTCTCTTACCATTCTGGGAACTGAACAGTCTGGTTCTCTGCTATAATTGCCCCTGTCATGCTCGATCTGTTAGTGAACCTCTATTTGGACCTGAAGTCTTCCTCTCCTGCTTCACTGTCCCATCATATGGCTGCCTGTAGCCCTCTAAGCCATAACCCTAATAAAGCTCCCATCTGAAGGGAAGTCATGTCAGCCTCTTTTCTACAAAGCAGTAACATGTATTTATTTTTTATCTGTGGCAACCACTAGTCTGATTTTGTCACTACAGACTTGCTTAGCTATCAGTGAACTAAAATTGTATGTACGTCAAGTCAGTGTGTTCTTTTGGGAGGCGGGGTGGCGTCTGGCTACTTTTGGTTATGTAGTTATTCAGGCCAGGTGTGATGGCACACACCTTTAATCCCAGCACTCAGTAGGAAGAGGCAGATGGGTTTCCGTGAGTTCAAAACCAGCCTGGTCTATAACCAGAGTTGCATGGTGAGACCCTATCTAAAAAAAAAAGGTAGTATTTTGAAGGTTGCTCATGTTTCATGTTCCAGTTTATATTTTAGATTTTAAAAATAACTAATACTTAAGTTCTAGGTGGGAAATAATTACCCCTTTAAAAACTTAACTCAGGCTGAGATGGCTTAATGGGTAAGGATGGCTGCTGCCATGCCTGATGACTTGAGCTCAGTTCCTAGGACCCACATTGTAGAGGAAGTTGCACAAATGTCCTCTGACCTCCACACATGCACCCTTGCATGTATGCATGCCACCTCCCACCCCCTGCTGCCTCAAGACATAAATGGAAAGTAAAACTTTACCTCTTTGAATTTAACTGAGAAATGCCTTGAATAATAAGTGAGATTTCAAAAGATTGCTATGCTGGATATTGTCTTTGTGAAAGTCCCGCTCTAGAAATTAATGTATGCTTAGTAAAAATGCCTTCTGTATTTCCACTGAAAACACTACACTCCTAATCAGTATGTCCTTAGTGTGGTAACACAAGATTTTCAGAACATTAAATATTGTCTGTGTCTGCTTTGATCAATGTCACATGTCTAGAAATAATGCCAGAGTTACTAATTATGGATCTTTCTTTCTTTCTTTCTTTCTTTCTTTCTTTCTTTCTTTCTTTCTTTCTTTCTTTCTTCCTTCCTTCCTTCCTTCCTTCCTTCCTTCCTTCCTTCCTTCCTTCCTTTCTTTCTTTGCAGATTCATAGAATCAATTATGGGTGTGAGAGGTTTACAGGGTTTTGTGGGAAGTACCTGCCCACATATATGTACAGTAGTAAATATCCAAGAGCTGGCAGAGCGCCACAGAAACAAGTACCCTGGATGTCCCCCTACCATCGTGGTGGATGCCATGTGCTGTCTCCGATACTGGTACACACCAGAATCCTGGATCTGCGGTGGCCAGTGGCGAGAATACTTTTCTGCCTTGAGAGATTTTGTAGCCGCCTTCACATCTGCCGGCATCAAGTTGATATTCTTCTTTGATGGCATGGTGGAGCCAGGTAAGAGAGATGAGTGGGTAAAGCGAAGACTTAAAAACAACAGGGAGATATCCAAGATTTTCCACTATATCAAGTCAAAGCGAGATCAGCCAGGCAGGAACATGTTCTTCATTCCCTCCGGGCTAGCCATATTTACACGGTTCGCTCTGAAGTCCTTGGGCCAGGAAACCTTCTGTTCATTACAGGAGGCAGACTATGAGGTAGCTTCCTATGGTCTCCAGCACAACTGTCTTGGGATCCTTGGGGAAGACACTGATTACTTGATTTATGACACTTGTCCCTACTTTTCAATTGGTGATCTCTGCCTGGAGACTCTGGAAACCATCATGCTCTGTCGAGACAAGCTCTGTGAGAGTCTGGGCCTCCATGTGGCAGACCTTCCTCTGCTGGCCTGTCTGCTTGGCAACGACATCACCCCAGAGGGCATGTTTGAAAGCTTCCGGTACAAGTGCTTGTCCTCCTATGCTTCTGTGAAAGAGAATGCTGGCAAAAAAGGAAATATTATCTTAGCTGTCTCAGACTATATCTCCAAAGTTCTTCACTTGCATCAAGGTGAGAAAAAGATAGAAGAGATGTTACCCTTGGGACCAAACAAAGCTCTTTTTTATAAAGGAGTGGCATCATATCTTTTGCCAGGGCAGAAATCTCCATGGTTAGTTCAAAAACCCAAAGGTACAATGACAGACAAGCAAGTGGTGAGTTTAAACCCTGAATCTAAGCAGGAAGTTCCTATGTGTGTAGATCTGGAGTCCAAGCAAGAAGTTTCTGCATGTAGTAATCCCGAGTCCATGCAAGTAGTTCCCATGTGTATGGATCCTGAATCCAACCAAGAAGCTTCCATGTGCGCAGATCCTGAATTCAAACAAGTTCCCATGTGCACAGATCCTGAATCCAAACCAGAAGTTCCCATGTGCACAGATCCTGAATCCAAGCAAGAAGTTTCCATATATGCATACCCAGAGGTCAAGCAAAAATTACCTCCAGAAACAGAGGCTGAATTTAATCTAGAAGTACTCATGTGTACACACTCTGAAATTAAACAAGAAGACGCCATGGATATGGAACCTGAAATTAAACAAGTAACCATGGTTTCAGACTCCGAAATCTTAAAGGTAAGGGGACATGCTTCTCCCACCTCTACCTACGGGGTCATATTTGAAAGTATACCTACTAATGATTTGCTTGTGGGAATTTACTAATTATCTGCAGAGAACTGTGGGAAGACACAGACTAGACACCTCTTGAGTCTAGTTAGGAAGATATCTCATAAATATGAAATCATATTGTAAGCACATTTGATATTGTCTTATAAATATGATGAGAAAGAGCTGTCGGAATTCTAAGGAGAGAATGTTTTGGGTTAAGGTATAAAGAGAAGGTTTCCCAATGGAGTCAGGCCTTACGGAGGACAACATTTGCTCTGAATAAGTGAAATGTGGGGTTGTGGGAACCCCACAGATGTAGTGATTAAATTAGTGTCTCTGTGAAGCATACTGGTAAACTATCCAGGCAAGAGCCTAGGGCTTGGGGAGAGGGAAACTTGGAGAAGATAGAGTGTAACCACACTATAAAAGTAGCTAAGTGCCAGGAGTCCAGGCTGATTCTAAGTTAACAATCTGTAGGCTCTGAAGAGTTCACTCTGGTGGAGAGTCACTGTTCAGTACCTATCTGGGAGGCAGAGGCAGTTGGATTTCTGAGTTCAAAGCCAGCCTGGTCTACACAGTTAGTTCCAGGATAGCCAGGGCTACATAGTGAGACCTTGTCTCAAAAGTGAGACAGAATTCCTAGATCTGTAGTTGAATAATGGTAACACACTGTGGTACTCAAAGTTTGTGGGTAAAATCATGCTTGGTTCTCAGCTTGCAACCTTTGGACATCCCTGTGGATATCCACCGTATTAGTACAACCAAGACAACAGGACCGGGATGTAACTCAAGGGCTAGCACGTGCTTAGCATGAGTGAAGCCATGATGGTGGTGCTAGGGTTAAAGTCTGTGCCACCATACCTGGCTTTCTCCCTTTTCATAACCAATCTTTTTGAGTCTTGCTATATCTATTAAATGAGTTTCAAATTTGTGCAGTATCCATTTCTTCCAGCTATCTTTTTCCCTAGTCCCAGCTATCTCTTATGGAAATTACTATCTTAATTGTCAAGAAATCCTCCTGAGTAGACTTTTGCCCTTTTTAGTTCATTTGTCATGCTGTGTGAAGAAATAAAGTCCTTTATTTTGTATTTTCTTATAATTCTTATCTTGTAACAAAAAACATGTAGCCAAGAAATAATGGTATGTAGCCTCTGCCTGTCTCCAGCCTTGCGTCACACTGGTTTTCCTCCTCCTCTGGTTATGTGGTCACCACATCTCCTGCCTTGTGGACCACTACTATGAATCTTTCTCCATGTTAATGCTTACCGATATCTTCTGTTGCAGCTTCTGTTAAAAGTGTCTTACCCACCGGTCTGTGTGCTCCAGTTGGAATCTGTTTGTGTGATCAATGTCTGTCTTGTGGTCCTCAGGCAGGTCATTTGTTTTTCCAGTGCTGTATGTTTTAAGCCTCCCATACTGTCTTTTAATAGCTTTCCTTTAAATATTGGTGGGATAAATGACTTCCTTCCCCTGCTTTAGCTCCTTAGTGACCTCCTGCTACAACAGTCTCTCCTCCTTAAAAAGCCATCGACCTTTTTTCTGTTACATGGATTGTGGCAGCTAAACTAATAGCAGGTTACAGTGATTACAGTAAAATGTAGACTCTCACATCACCTAAGAGAATCATAGGTAGGCAGATGTTGAGAATTTAAGAAAACAAAATGGTTGTTTGCACTTGGAAGTATTTGCTAGTGCTTCCTAGAAAAGGTAGAGGGGACCTTCAGGAAACTGCTGGCGGCCTGTAGAGTAGTGAAGTGTATGTGGTGTGGCAGGAAGATTGGCACTCTTCAGCACAGGGAGAAGGTGAGTCTGACCTTGCTTAACTTCTCTCAGTTTTATTATGCAGATTGGATGTAATAATGCTACTTCTAATGCAGATCTTGTAAAGATTCTCCTCAGATTCCTATGTCTGTAGGGCTTCTTGTTTGTTGAAGGCAGTGCTCACATGCACCATTCAGTCACCAGGCAGGTCTATGGAGGTGGAGGCTCTTGTCTCCCTTCTGACCTGAGGGCAGAGGGGTCCAAGGCCCATGACACCCAGCACTAATGCCAGGTTCCAGTCTCTGGATCTGACCTCGAGCTGAAACCCAAGTCCGCGTCCATCTTCTCTGCTGGCCTCTTGGAGATGAGGTGTGGTCAGGAGTTCCAGGATCGCATGAAGCTGCCTCCTCCTGGTCTCATGTGTGCCATTTGAGGTGATATCTGACACAGAACTTAGCCTGGGATGGCCCAGAGGGAGTCCTATTGCTGATTCTGCAGCCACTCAGCTTGCTTCTGTCTCCATCTGTCCCTTCCCATTCTCTGCCTTTCATTACCTTGCCTGCTTGTGTCCTGTGCATGTTCTCTGTGGCTCAGGCTCTGTTGTGAGGGTCCTTGTACCCCCTCCCAACTCCACAGCCTGGATAGCTCTCTCAGCTGCTGCAGGTGCGGTGAGTCTGACTGCTCAGGTTAGACCTCACAGGGAACCCCTGAAAGAACTTAGTGCTTGATTTCTGTACCTCGTAAAGCAGTACTGCACATTTTTAAATAGTATGTGATGGGATTGTATGTTTGTTTTTGAAACACTGGTTATACTGCAAAGAATGGATTAAAACTCACTTCAGAAACTCAAGTAGGACAAACTTGGGTAAACGAGCTAGAATTGGGAAATGGCAGTTGGAGAAGCAGCTGCATCATGCTTTTTGGTTTGGGGGTTTCCCATCCTAGTTTAAAAACTAATAGTCGAAGGAGCCCTGCCGTTAGAGGCTTAGCACTAGCTCTGCATGGGTTAGTTGAAAATGCTGAGGGGGTGACGGAGCACACACAAGAGCAACAGATTGCATCATTTTGATGATCAAATAGCATGATGTAAAGGTCTGATATCAGATGGAGTGTTGCTCAGCAGTAGATCATATGCTTAGCAAGGCCCTAGCTCCAATCCCTGGCATCAAGAAAATAAATAAACATAAAAATTGATGTCAAGATTTGAACTTAAGTTTCCAGTGTAAAGAAAGGAAATATGGGAGAGAACTTGGAGTTCAGAAGTGATCATGACTTATCTCTGCTAGAATTCTCGATCTTTCTGCCTGAGCCTCCCAAGTGCTAGACCTGCAGGCGTGTGCCACTGTGATTGGCTTGCACCCTGTTTTAGAAGTGAGCTAATAGTAAACAGGTTTGTGTTGTCAAGGGATTCCCCCTAGTACAGCTACAGCAGCTGAGAGAGGTGAAGGGCCATTTGCAGGAACGTGATTAACTGAATTTTACTGCAGAAAAACGTAGTGTAGCACCTTTGACATGTGCACACAATGAAATATGGGCCTGAAGTTCCATTCCTAGTAGGAAAGAGACAGTTAGAAGCCATTCTCTTTTTAAATGTCTTAGAAGCCTTCAGTAGAAGAATATGTAGGATGGAGGCTTAAACACTCCACTGAGAGACAGAGACTGAGGTGAAAGTAATTCTCTTCTAGGAGGAGAAAACATGTAAGCTGCATATGTCGAGGTATAAAAAAAATTAAAGTTTTTTTTTAATAAGTCTTGGGCCAAAATGCATCTGGGTTTGGCAGTTGGGAGATTTTGGTAATTATGGACAGTGCTACAGCAAACGTGTAGGTAGGCTGCTTGCTGGAGTCTGGAAAGGGACAGTAGGAAGACGGGGTCTAGAAAACCTTACAGGCAAAGGCAAAGTACTATGCAGTGTGTAGATTATGTGTTATATTTACTGATGAACTTAATTTTGTTGCCTTTGCAGTTAAGTCTAGGCAGCTAGAATTCCAGTTTGCATGATTTAACCACATGTGGCCAAACAAAACTTTGGGTGAAAAGGCTTGATGTGGAACATTGGCAGGCACAGCCACAACCACATACGCATGCTTCTTCTCTGTCAGTAGTCGAGAAATCAGATTGAACAGGACATTATGTAGTTTTCATTGCACTGGACAAGCTACGATAAATAAAGACAGGGCAAAAACAAAGAAAACTTAGGTGGTATTAATATGACTGAATTAAGAATCACAAGTACATAACTGGAAACATGATACCTTTAGAAGAGAGCATTATATCTCAAGGTATACACAGTTGCCAAAATTAACAATTTACTGGAAGAATAAGTATATATAATTCATTATTATTTTCTAGGCAAATTTGTAAAACTACAAACTCCTTTGAATTAAAGGCCAGGGATGGTGGCACATGCTTTTAATCCTAGGATCTCTGTGAGTTCGAGGCCAGCCTGGTCTACATAGTAAATTCCAGGACAGCCAAGGCTATGTAGAAAGACTCTGTCTCAAAAAAACAAAAACAAACACAAACACAAAGTTAGAATTGAAAATTAATTAGAAGTAATTTTGTCAAAAAAGACACGATGAAATCCATAAGTTGAACATCTGTATTGGAGTTTACATTGAAAGGGCTTCTCATTTTCAAGGTTGGTTGTCCAGTGCCAAAAGATCTCCCTGAAAACATACATATAAGTAACATTATATGGACTCAACAGGTTATATTTAGGAATATATATGTATATACAAATACATATATGCATGCAATATCAGTTAATTAAAAAAGAGGCCTTATATTTGAAGAAGAGTGGGGAGGCGATATGAGAGGGTTTAGAGGGAGGAAAGGGAAGAGAGAAACATTTTAATTAAATTACAGTCGCAAGTAAATAAACAAGAACAACTAGAACCTGTAGTAGGATTGCCTTGGTTTAAGGAAATCTGGCGGTGAGTGGACATTATGTCAGGAGTCCTGAGTAAACATTTGTTGTTTACTGACACTGTAAGCTGTCAGATGTGTTAAGCACATTCTGGGTATCTGCTCATTTAAACCACACAGTGATCAGTGGCTTTTTAAATAGAACTTGTGTTATAAAGAAACCAATGAATAGGGTGATTAAAACTCAGGTCTCAACAATGAATCCATATAACTAGTTCTACTTAGGTGCATATAAACTCGATCCAAAAATTTGATAGCCCAAGTCATCCTAACAAAATCATTATAAATGCCTCTTGGTAAGACAGTTTCGATTTAAAATTCTGAATAAAGTTGTAGACATAATATAGACTTTATTCCCACAATAAAGAGATGTGTTCTTTATAGGGGGGAAAAACCCTACATGTAGGTCATTATAGACCTTTTGATCTAAATTGCTTATTTAATGAGAAAATAGAGTTTAAATCACATCTTATGGCCTGCCACGTAATGTGCAGAGGACAAATACATATGCTGGAACATGGATTTTGCTAATTATTGAAGCCAGGTGCAATGGAACATAAGAAAAAAAGTGAGAGAAGGAGAAAAGTTGAGCAAACAAATGAACACAGCACAGCTTCTAACACCAAGATGTTTGATGTGAGAAGTAAGAGTTGAGTCTCATGAGCAAAGGGTGGTTAATTCCAGTTGGGAAGCTGGGATAGGTTTGTAGAGAAGGTAGGACATGATTGAGGTGAGCCCAAGATGGTTAGGAAGCGGGAGGTTAGGAAGCCGTGGTAGAGCAGACAGGTGGGATTCGTGCTTCCAGAGCACAAAGTGGAAGAGAACTACTGCTTGGAGACAGTGATGTCCCCTGAAATGAGCATAGCAGTTTCTGTGAGAGCAAAATGGTATACAGAGAGGTAAAGGAGATTTGAGACCTACTGGGACTAAATGTCATGGTGAAGTTTGTGGTAGCCATTTGGATGTCTTATACAGGGAAACAGATTTATCTGTTCCTGAGAAGACAATATGGTGGTCATATGAATGAGCAGTTGGTATGGGGAGAAGCTCTGCTGGGGACTCAGTTGGGAGCCCTTTGTACCAATCCTACTGGAAAACAGAAGTGTGTTTATTGGGAGGCCTTGAGTAGACATAATAATAAGATACTAAGAGCTGGGCATGAAGGTATGCACCTTTAATCCCAGCACTCAGGAGGCAGAGGCAGGTGGATCTCTATGAGTTCAAGGCCAGCCTGATCTACAAAGTGAGTTCCAGGACAGCCAGGGCTGTTACACAGAGAAACCCTGTCTTGGGGGGATAGGGGTCGGTGGAGATACTGCACAGTAAGTGTAAAATTGGTTGATTGGAGGCCACAGGAGAAGGGTAATACAAACAAAGTTTGAACTTGTTAGTCCAAAAGAAAAAAAAAAAACATAAATACCACTTGATGTGCTTGAATGACAGTTTCTCATTTGAATATCTTAGATTAAACTGATAAGTGGTATTGACTGTTTCTGTTTGAAACTCAAGTTTGTTTTCAAGGAGAAATCTGTTGCATCTGAATCCTTGAGCAGGTTGCCAAGATGAATCATGTCCACTCAGAAAGCTACCTAGTGTACAACATTATGAGCAGTGGAGAGATTGAGTGCAGCAACACCCTGGAGGATGAGCTGGACCAAGCTCTACCCAGCCAAGCCTTCATCTACCGTCCAGTCCGGCAGCGTGTGTACTGGCTTTTACTTGGGGACTGGAAAGGTGAGAGCCAGTTGGTCTCTTTTAGCAATGATTCTGTTTGGAGTTGGGTTCTGAGAAATGTAGGAGAGTGCAATCTCCAAGGACAAGCAGACAACAGGTTTTGTTTGTCTGTAAAATCTGTACTTGAGAATGCTATTAAAGATTAATGCCACAAGATATTACCATCTAATTAGCATAATTGGTCAGAATCATTAATGAGGATTGCACTGTCACTATGAAATGTCATATTTTTATATCTTAAAACTGTGCTTTTTAAAAACTGAAAACTCTTACCTGCTGTAGTCATGTATGGTGTGTTTTTGGGTACTATCTATATATCCCTCAAAGTAAGATTTTCGTAAAACAATTGTATAAAATCTAATAATTTAAAAATATAAACAGATGTCCTTTAGCATTTTATGATATGTTTATATGTTTCCTAAAGCATTTTATATTGTGAACATAGCAAAAGAGTAGTTGAGCATGGATGACCAGAGCAGTAAAAATGAGAGGTTCTTAAACACCAGGGTTTTCATAACTCACAAAAGGGTGCTTATGTCTGTTTGTCCGAACATTATTTTGAGATAACAGTATTGTTATTATTTCTTCAAGAAAATAAACCTGTCATAATTTAAAGGTGGGGTACAAAGCAAGGGCCTGGTCAGTTCTGTTTATAGCCATGGGTCCTTTCCTTTTTTTCCCTCAGAAGTCAGCTGCTCTCTTACCATGTGACGGCTTTCACTCAGACTCACCACTGTGGCACCTGCCTGGTTATTTGTGTGCTTATTTGTCTAATGTCCATGGCCAAAGTAATATTATAGTGACTTCTTTTGCCCTGGTGTGAATCAAGTGATTTCTGTGTATGCTTTGAATGTATGTTTAAACTTAATCTTTCCTGGGGTGTTGGTATTTAGTAAGCATTTCTTAGAGACAGTAGCCATAGTGGTTGAATTGCTTGCTCAGATGGGAGATTTGGATTCTCAGTATCATTAGGTGAGCAGCAGTGGCCATGTTAATTTGCCTATCCGGAAAAGCCCATCCATGTACCATGCAGATTGGAGGGTGAGGGTCCAGCACTGGAGCTCAGCTTACGCTTGCATAGCCTTTTGCCAGAGGATCTGAAGCTACACACACTGAATTGTGTTTGGAGTGTTTAGCACCCCTCCTGACTGCCTTTGGATCCTGGCCTCCTGGGAACACTAGGGCATCTAATTGTCCCAGAGGGGAGCCTCCTCTGGGACTGTAGACTGGTATTGCTTTATTTGTACTTATGTGGTATTCACATGATGGGAAGGCATTGTGGCTAACACTCACTCCCTCTGAGCATTCTTGCTTTTATACCTGTTCTTTGCTATGGTTATCTCTCCCTCTTTTTTTCTCTGTAATAATAATCATAACATAAATCAGAATGTCTTAAGCAGTTTTTACTCATGACCCTTTTTCATGAGAATTTTTCCTATGGCTCCAGGTATATAAAATATGTATGCACATGAAAGGTTTGATGTTAATAATGAATTTACTTTAAAACAGTTCTTTGGCATACATGTAATCTGACCTTTGTTAAAGAGAAGTGGACACTGATGAGATGCATGTGCTTGTCTAACACAGGACGACCCAATGATACACTAATTTGATATGTACATACTGAGAAGTGACGGCAAGAAAACATTAAAAGTCTTTGTTTTACGTCATTAAACCATTGTGTTTCTGTAGTACAGAAAACTCTGTATGCATAATGAAAACACTGCTGTTCATAACATACAATAGTCTTGAATCTAAGCTGATGTGTTTTGAGGAGTATTGTTGGGATTGCACGGTATAAAGGCATGTATAGTACAAAATGCACATGTTGTGTGTTCAAGGTTGCACTGAGGTTGTACTGTGCAACATGGGAATGCTGCCAGAAACACCCCAGATTTATTATACATTTGGTTTTGAATTAATTTTTGGTCCTTGAGTGAATGGTGGTTAGTGTTAATTGTCAACAGAATCTAGAATCACCTCGGAGACAAGACCCTGACCATGCCTCTGGGATGATCTTGATTACTGTGGGCGATGTAGGAAGACTGTGGACTGTGGGTGGGACTGTTCCCTGGACAGGGGATCCTGGACTATATGCAGTGGTGAGAAGGGGCTGAGCAATAGCGTTCGTTATCAGCTTCCGCTCTCCGACTATGGCTGCTTCAGGCTCCTATGGCCATGATTTCCCTGTCCTTATGGGACTGCACGCTATGAACCAGAATCAGTAACCTTCCCTCAAGTCACTTTTCTCCAGGAATTTTATCACAGTTTAAAAAACCTAGGAGAAGTGTTCCGAAATCTCTTACTGTTTCCAGTTTTTGTTTGTTTACACTGAGCAGTCGGTGCTGCAGGGAGAGCTCCTACTCTACACCTGTAATCCCATTAGTTGACAGTGTTGGAGAAACATTGTCAGCCCTCAGCTTTGGACGTTTGGTTGATTCCAGTTTCTGCTGGCATTCTGAGGACAGCTCTAAGGCAACTAACAGCATTGTGTGAGGGCAGGCCTCAGCTGAGCCTTCAGTCTTTCAGAGTCCCAAACATGTTCTTAAGGATCAGTTAAAATAGTGTAAGAACCAAAGCTGTACACAATTATGAATTAAACCAATAATATAAAAATATAGAACTATAAGAACAAAGTTTTTTTTTTTTTTTTTTTTTTTTTCGAGACAGGGTTTCTCTATGTAGCTTTGCGCCTCTCCTGGAACTCACTTGGTAGCCCAGGCTGGCCTCGAACTCACAGAGATCCGCCTGGCTCTGCCTCCCGAGTGCTGGGATTAAAGGCGTGCGCCACCACCGCCCGGCTCAAAGTTTTTTTTTTTAAGTTGGGGTAGGGCTGTGGAGATGATTCAGTGGGTAAGAGTGCTTATCCCAGAAGTGGGAGGACCTGAGCTTGAGTCCCCAGAACTCATGGAAAAGCCAGACATGTAGCACAAGTGTCTGTTATTCCAGTGCTCCTGGCGGGAGATGGGAGGGCAAGACAGGAAAATCTGGAGCTCCTGGGCCAGCTCTCACTACCCAGTGAAAACAGCAGAGACTGTGTCAAACAAGGCAGAAAGCAAGGGCCGACATCCGACATGTGAGGTTATCCTCTGAGCTTCACACACTTGCATTCAAACACACCAGTGTGTTCAGCGACCCCCACACACCGGCTAGAGGAAGCCCCTTCGGAAACGGGTAGGAGAATTACCACCAATTCCAGACAGCCTGGGCTGTCAAATGAAATCTTATATTAAAAAACCAACAAGCTGGGCATGGTGGCACACACCTTTAGTCCCAGCGCTTATGAGACAGAGGCAGGTAGATGTCTTTGAGTTTGAGGCCTACATAGAGAGACCCTGTCTCAACAAACAAACAAACAAAACACAAGGGTAAGACCCTGTCCTGACAAATAAGCCTGCAGGATTGTACCAGATTGGAGTGTGTGAGTGCTGAGGTTAGAATCAACTTGGCTATTCCATTTTCTCTTTGCTTGCCCAATACCAGCCTCATCCCAGGTAGTTGAAATCAGTATCTCTTCTCCCTGCCTGTGAGAAGAGGCCAAACAGCACTTTATAAATGTGTACAAGTCATCCACACAAGGGTTTTTAGGCAAGAAACCAGAAATATAAACACACATATTTAGATAGTCCTAGGAAAAACAAGTACTGGTTAAATAGAAAAAAATTTTCAAAGTGTAAATGCACTGCTGGGAGAGAGGTGGAGGGTAGGTATCACCGATGAAGATCAGTCCCTGAACTGAGATGAGATTAGGTACAGGCAGCCTTGATCTCTTCAGTGTAGGAAGTCAGTTCAAGAGTGGATTCATGGTGTGAACGTCTGTTCCCAGGGTAGTGTGTGACACAACCTACCCTGCCTTCCCACTTACCTCTCTCCTGTGCCACTGTTGTGAAAGTGTTTAGTAAGAACTGCGATGTTATGAGAGTCCTTTTTGGTCTTTAATTTTTTTTATGTATCAGAGTGTTTTGTTTGCATGTATATCTATCTTTGCACCGTGTGTGTGCCTGGTGTCTGTGGAGGTCAGAAGCGGGTGTCAGATCCCTGAAAATGGAGTTTATGGTTTGAGAGTGGTCATGTGAGTGCTGGGAATTGAACTCAGCTCTTCTGTAAGAACAAGTGCTTTTAACCACCAGCCTATCTCCCCAGCCCCCTCCTTCTGGCCTTGAACTCAATATTTGAAGTCACATTCAAACCCTACATTAGACTTTTCAAAATAAAAGTTCTTCTGTATGTTTGGTGAGTAATTATTGTAAACTTTCAGTTGGCTCAGGTTTTTCTGTTTTTGTTGTTTTCTCCTTTTTAGCAAAGCAGTGTGAAAGGAATGGATGGGTCACCGTTAGACTGAAGAAACATAATAGCTGTTGGTGACACAATCACTTTCATCCCTGGGGTGAAAGGAAACATTCATGAGGCAAATGAGTTTGCAAGGGCTTTGTGGTCCTCCTGCACCTGCTGACCCTGTTATCTTTACTCAGATGGAGCCAGCACCGGCCCGGTGGTCAAGGAGTGGTTTGTGTACCCTGGGAACCCCCTGAAGCAGCCAGACCTTGTTAGGCCTCTGCAGATGACTGTTCAAGGTATGTACAGTGTAGCTGACATTTCCTTTGGGCCACCAGTCAGCTGCCAAATAATGAGACAGCGACTTCTTATTAATTATCAAAGCTCAGCCTTAGCTTAGGCTTGTCCCACTAGCTCTTATAACTTAATTTAACCTGTTTCTGTTCATCTACATTTTGCCTCAGGGCTTTTTAACCTTTCTTTCATTCTGTATGTCCTGCTTTCCTGCTTCCTCTGACTGGGCTGGCTGACTGGCTGGCCTCTGGCTGGGCTGGCTGGCCAGCTCTCCTACTCTCTGCTCACCAGCCCTGCCTGTCTCTCATCTGCGTAACTATTGATCATTTAGCTTTTGATTAGACCAGTCAGGTTCCTTAGGCAAGCAAGGTGAAACACCAACACATCTTTACATAGTCAAACAAATGCAACACATAACACATCTTTACATAATTAAACAAATATTCTATTCCACAACAGTACAGTCTTAAGCTATCCGTCTTAAGGTGTCAGCTCAAGAAAGAACACACTATATGAATGTCTGTGTTGCAGAATTACATGTTAACTGATACTAGTTTTAATTCCTATCCCCTGAAAGACTCCAGTGATGGAGTTGGTAACTGATAGGCTTTGTGGGGGTGAGGAGTGGGAAGGGTCTAGGAGGGGTGTGGATAGAGGTCAGCACTGAGAATCTTCTTCAGTCCATTTTGATTCTATTTTTTAAAGATAGTCTCTCACTGAACTTGGAACTCCTTGGTTTGACTAGACTTGCTGACCAGTGAGCCACAGAGACGGCCTGTTTATACCTGCCAGCTCTGGTATTGCAGATGCATAGCATTGCACTTGGCTGTTTTGTGTGTGTGGATTCTGGAGGATTGAAGTCAGGGCCTCATGCTTATGTGGGTATTTTACCTACTTAGCCCTCTCTCCAGCCACCTGGTAGGCTTTTTGTGACTGGATCTTGAAGGCGCTGACCTAATCAATGGCTCCGTCCATTGATGGAGTCATAACTTGATGGTATTATTGGGAACTTAGGAGGTGGGCCTAGTTGGGAGGTGGGTACCTGGGATGTGCCTTTGAAGGCATTCTCACTCTCAAAGCATGTGACACAGACAGGGAGACCCTGTCAGTCATCCTCCTCTCTGGTATCAGGGGAGACTTAGAAGGGTTTTGCTTCAGCCTTGTCCCCATCTCAGATGTTAGTTTTTCTTTTCTTTAAAGGTAGCTGTCACTGGCTGCCTCATAATGCTTCACTTTTCAGTGAGCCTTCTCTGTTCTTTCTCTTTTTAAAGGCCTTTCCCGAGACTATAATTCCAGGGATCATTTCTATAGTTCGTCAAGGCCTTTTCCTCTAACAGTGATGTTTGCTTATTTGACAAGTAGAATAAAAAAGAAACCAATATTTTCAACAAAGTACAGGGGGATAGAGGATTGCAGAAAAAAAATAAAAAGAGCTTCCTTAAAAATTAGGAAGGAGAGTTGGATGTACTGGCGCATGCCCGTCTTAGCCTCAGTACTCGAGAAGAGGAAGGGTCCGATTCAAGGCCAGCTTGGGCTGCACAGTGAGGCAATATCTCAAAAAGGAAAAAAAAAAAAAAAAAAGCGGGAGGTAGTTCAGAAAAGGGGGGGAGGGGGGAAGAAGGGGAAGGAGTTAAAAGTTGGTCAACAAGGAAACAGTAAAAGAAGACGTGCTCCTGCTTGCCTTGTTCTAAATATGTCCTCCAAACTTATGTATTGGAAGCAGAGTCAGGAATAGGATGGTTTTTGACAGCCAAGGGACCTTTGGGAAGTGGTTGACAGTTAGGTGGGAGCTGTGCCCTTATAAAAGGACACCAGAGGAAATTGTCCTGCTCTTTCCCCCATGAGGACACAGTATCTGTGCACCAGGAAATAGGCCCTCACTAGACACAAGTCCCTGGTCTAAGACTTCCAGCCTCCAGAGTCTTGAGGAAAGGCTCTGCTGCTATGACCTGCCCAGTGTGTGGCATTTTGTTATGTTAGCAGCTCAAGTGGTCAAAGGTACTGGACGGCTGTATTCAGAAAGCTCATTGATAGTCATATCCCCCCACCCACCCACCCCACCCCACCCCCGCCATGTTCCCGTGTTGACGTGCTTACATGTGTGTGCACAATATTCCACTTGGCAATGCATTGTGAAAGATGGTGTTTTATAACACAGGAAGGGATTTAGTTTTGCTCTCTGGCTTGAGAAGTGCATGTATTCCTTCATCCCCACCTCATTTATGGTCTCGTGTCCTGTCTGCAGAACTAGACGTCCTTTGGATGAAAATAGGTGATTTCTTCCCAGTGTTTTTTTTTTTTTGAGTCATTATGAGTAAATCTTTACTGCAGAATCCCAGGGAAGCTGACTGAATGCACTGATTGCTTGGTTGGTTCTCTTGAATAACTGTTAAGTGTTGTTCAGCATGTAAGTAAACAGTGTTTTCTGACAACATAAGGGCATCTGACTTACCACAGGCTTACAACAGAATATCTTAGAAGACTCTTACAGAATAATGAAGGTAAAGCCTTACATTTCGTGAAAAAGGGTACTACTGTATCTGACCCATTCTGTTCCTGCTTTCTTGTTTTAGCTCCTCCTATCCTGACAATATACATAGGTGAGGAACGATTTCTGTGTCCTGAACATGTGCAGCTGAGTGGGAAGTCATCTGTTGATGCAGCTTTGTGGACCACCTATAGAAACAGTGTGGCACTGTCAAGTGACTGTCACGAATACGTATTACAGGGTAGCAGTTGCAGTCTACACCACACACCTTTTAGGAACCACGGTGGCTATTTTGAATGCACTAGATAGAAATAGGGTAGCAGCAAACATGAAAGCAGATAGCTTAGCCATGTGTGGACAGAATTTAGTATTCTAATGCAATCTGCTTCATTTATATATGAAGAATTTTTTTATTATGAGAAATAGCCAATTGAAATATATCCAGATAAGATTCACTTGGATATGAGCATTCGGGGTTTTTCTTTAACTGATAGCTTCACATTTCTTATCCTGAGTGGACACAAGCCAGACAGTTCTATATATGTTGGAAGTTTTTGTTTGTTTGTTTGTTTTATTTTAGTTGTATTTCTCACTTTAGAAATAGATAACGAGAAACCCCTTTAAGATAAATAAAAATCCCTAGCATTTAATTTGCTTATTTCCATATGAAGAGTACATGCAGGTACTGACTTCACATTTTTATATGTTTATCCGTCGTATCTTATTCATTCATTTATGTTTATAGCTGTGAAAACACAAACTTGGTATTACTTATACTTATTTGGGGAACCCCACTGTAGTCCCCCAAATGTGTCTTGCAGTTTTCAGAAGTGGCCTCCCCTTGCTTGGCTTTGGGGACTCCATCCTCCCTAAAGCCTAGACTATCCTACCTGTTCACATAGACCTTTACCACATTTGCAATTAGGTTTTTTTTTTTTTTTTTTTTGGTTTTTCGAGACAGGGTTTCTCTGTGTAGCTTTGCGCCTTTCCTGGAACTCACTTGGTAGCCCAGGCTGGCCTCGAACTCACAGAGATCCGCCTGGCTCTGCCTCCCGAGTGTTGGGATTAAAGGCGTGCGCCACCACCGCCCGGCTGCAATTAGGTTTTGAAGCTTATGTTCACTCACTGTGGTCTGGAGACAAGAGTGCACATTCTGGCCTCTGGATTCTAGCTGTAAATACCTCAGCTCCCCTTTCCTTGTGCATGAAATGTAGGGGTTCCATCCGCTCCTCAATGATTTGTTTTAGCCCAGACTCTAGATGAGACTATGTGTGTGAATGTGTGAATTGAGAGAGAATGTATATCTGATAGTGTATCTGCTTGTGTGTATCAATATGAGTCTGAGTGCATGTGAATGAAAGTGTGTTAGAGCACAAATAAAATATCACCACATTTCCCCTTTTTTTGTCTAAAATAAAAAAAATTATGGGCCGGGCAGTGGTGATGCATGCCTTTAATCCCAGCACTCGGGAGGCAGAGGCAGGAGGATCTCTGTGAGTTCGAGGCCAACCTGGGCTACAGAGTGAGTTCCAGGAAAGAAGCAAAGCTACACAGAGAAACCCTGTCTCAAAAAACCAAATATATATATTTAACTGTGCTCTAACAAATAAAGCTTGCCTGGGGATCAGAGGGCAAAGCCAGCCACTATATTAAACATAGAAGCCAGGCAGTGGTAGCACATGCCTTAATCCTAGCATTCGGGCGACAGAAATTCATCCAGATCTATGTGAGTTCAAGGCCACACTGGGAACAGAGCCAGGCATGGTGGCACACGCTTTTAGTCCCAGTACTAGTTAACCATAGAGGTCTGGAGGTCTGTACAGACAGACAGGAAGTGATAGAGCTGTGCAGAAAGAGGAAATGATGTAGCTGGGTGGAGAGAGGAAGTAAGACGGCAGGGCACAGAAAGGTATATAGGCGTGAGTATATAGGAAGTAGCTCTCTTGGGCTGAGGATTTCCTAGTGGTAAGACGTGGCTGGCTTGCTCTCTGATTTTTCAGCTTTCACCCCAATATCTGGCTCTGGGTTTTTTTTTATTAATAAAACCATTTAGCAATTCATGTTACAAAAGTGTGTGTGTGTGTGCATGTTTATGCATGCATGTGTGTGTATTTGTGGTTGTGCCTGCACATGCATGTTGAATTGTGGTTGAGAGTGTATGTATATAGTTCTTTCCTATGCTAGCTGATCTCCTGAGCTAATCATGTTATAATTCTGTTAAACATACTTTTTGTTGGGTGTAGATGTAACCAACCGTCTTATTAAAATAAGAAACAGAACCAATGCAAAGAAGAAAGCCAAGAGATCAGAGCTAAGAGCCTTACCCATCTGCTGCAGCTAGCCACTTCAGCCAAGAAAGACCTACTTCCTGCGTGTTTATCTTTATAGAGACTTTCTGTTCTACCTTCTCATTGGTTGTAAAAACCAACCACATGACTGCCTCGTCACTGTCTGTTGGCTGTATCCTTGAACACACAGAGATCTACCTAGCTCTGCCTACCAAGTGCTGGGATTAAA